ACACACACATACACACACACACACACACACACACACACACACCACACAGCGCTCCCTCAAAGCTGGTGTTTTTTTTTCTTTTCTTTTCTTTTGACCTTGTAGCAATGCATTTTCAGGGGGCGGGGCGGGGCACGGCAGTGTCCCTGGGTACTCATTGGACACACTGTAGCATGTTTGCCTCGGACCACTCAGGGAGTAGACCCCCCTCCTCCGGTGGACCAGGATGGTGCGCTGCTGCGATTCGAGACCCGACAGCCCTGACCTGTGAAGCAGCCGACCACAGGTTGACCTTAGTGCTGCAAGTATCTCAACAATTGGTTTTTATTTATGCTGAATACTATTTTTGTGTACTGTTATGTTGTGGAGGGGCATAAATAAACAATATAACAAAGAGAGCTTGCGTTTTAAAGTCTTAATTCCTGAAATGCACTGGAAGCGTTTCTAAAAATGCATACTACTGTGGAGCTTTGAATACTAAAGCTGGTGCTTGCTTATTCTGTGTGGTGCATTAATTTTAAAAGCTTGTCCATTGAATTAGATCCACGGATTGTGTTTGCACACCTTTGTCCGAAGCAGCTGACTCATCCCATTGTTTTTACTGAAGTGATTCAGATTAAAGGTGCTTGGTGGTCACACATAGCAGTCGGGTATTAGTTCTAATTTCTAACATAGTATATTTGAACTACAAACTTGTATGAGTTTGTCGTGCTTCACAGATTGGGCAGGTTGCACATTTTTAGACTTGCGTAGAATAGTTATAAAAATTTGGCTGTGGTGATTTTGTGCCGTCAGTGATGGCTTAAGTACCTCGCTACTGGAATTTCCCAGCTTCACCCTCTGCATTTTTTTTTTTTCCAACCTCAGCAGCTATGATGCTGGGTGGCCTCATAATGTCTATGCTGGTAACAAATGGACTTCTGCTTCTACCCAAGCTGCTTCTTTCCAAAGTGGATTGAAACCTGCTACTTCCTGACTTTTGGACTCGACCTGCCACTAAAGTGCTTCCCCTTACAAATGTACTCCCTGATTTCCCATGCAAATAAGAAGTATTCTGACAGTGACACTGATCCGAGTGGGTCCTGCTAAAGACTGCGCTGGTTTAAGGTGTGTACCAAGATTTGCAGAAAACCTGCCTGAATATGACGAGGAACTCTGAGATTTAACCCTTTTAAGAGCCTAGTTGGGGGGCCCTGCAATGCAAACTTACATGGTTCCATGTGCATGACAAGGTTCTTCATAGGACTAATAGGAATTGTTTGCTGACATCCCATGGGCTATTTTGCCAATAACCAAATCATCGATGGAGCTGTATCACTCAAATTCGACCCTGTTCCTTTTCCTGAATCCAGCATTGTGTTAAACATATATAGATGGTAGTAGTGGGTTTCTGAATCGGAGGTGAGTCTGCACCCAGAGCAGGAGGCCTCTGTTTCTGTGCCTAGAGGGCGGGAATGGAACTGGCCACATCGCCTACAATCTTGAGCCTTTTGACTGTTTAAGCAGAGCCGGAAAACCTGTCCTGCTGTCCCCCAACCCCCTACTGCTCCATTTGTGAGGGCTGGTTAGAGATTTCTGTGGGGGTGGGGAGAGTGTGTGGAGGTAGGCCGCCAGACTGCTAGGCCTGGCCCGCTCCTGTCTGCAGTGTCGAGTGCAGCGCGCAATCCCAAAGGGGCCTGCTGTATGGGGGGGGGAGGGGGAGGTAGGCTCTCGCAGCACTGGGGGCTCCGCCATGGCGCACAGCTGCAGTCACTGCTGCCTTTTAGTTAGTGCCGTCATGATCGTTCTCCTGACCCCTCCTGGTATGTGCAGTGAACTGCATCCATACCACAGATCTTGAGATAGTTGTGCCGGTGACATTTTGGCCCATTATTCTTTGTGTTTTTGATTTCCCCCTACCCATGTGGTACAGTAAGTTAAGCTGACCCAGTTCTCCTGGGGTTTAAACCCACTACCTCCCAGTTACATATCCTGCACCCCCCTCCCCCCCCATTACTCTGTGAGAAGAAGTGTTCCGTGTTTCTTATGTACTCTTGGATTGAAGTTTGCATTTTTCTATTTTGTCCAGTAGGTGGCACATTTCCATATTGTGTGGTATATATGCGCACTAAAGTTCAATCGAATGTAGGGAGTTGTCTAGCAGATTGAGAGCATCATAATTAGAACCTGGACTGGAAAAAAACTTGGATATTTAATAGCTTCCTTCAAAGAGACCTTTCTATTCTAGGAAAAATACTTATCCACCAAATTCCACAGTTGGCACAAGTGAAAAGGGATAATGGTATGGGGTTGTTTTTCAGGAGTTGGGCTAGGCCCCTTAGCTTGGTGATGTGAGGTTTGCATGGAGCTGCTGGGCCATGGAAGCCCATTCTTTGGAACTCCTGCTGCACAGTTTCTGTGGTGGGGTTAATGCCAGAGGAGGTCTGGAACTCTGCAGTCATGCCTCACACTGAGTGGCCTTGCATTGCATTCTCAATTTCGTTGTCAAGTGACAATGACAATAAAGATAATCTTATACTCCATCTTACTAAAATAAATTGTTCATGATAAGTATAATCCCAGTAGTCTATTGTTACTGTTGCTTTGAATATAACACCAAAATAACGATAGAAAAGTTTAGCAAATGTAACTTAAGTAAAAATCAGTAAACTGGGGCAAGTATATTTATATAAGTATATTTATCTGTGGAGCTTTAAGTGATTTTTTTAAAATCTAAGTATTTTATTTATTTATTTATTTTTTAAAAGATACTATCTAAGTTTATTCACAGCCTATGCTGCGAAAGATTACACCATGCCGGTGCTTATCTGAACTTCAGTAATGAGGAGCAGCGGGGAGACGAATCGGGTGCGGTGTCGCGAGAACACGCGTCTGTAGAGAGGAATTGCGCGCACGCTGGAAAACGACGATGTCCAGAGATCAGTTTTCCCGCATGCGTATGGCAAGTCGCCGAGGGATGGAGCCGCGGGCATCGGTATCGCGCAGCGGAGTGTCGTGTAGAAAGCGCGTAGCGACAGCGGACTGCAGTGAGTCATGACGCACCTGTGCGCGCACCTGTTTGGATAAGATTCGGACCCCGCATAGGATTCTGAAGCGTAAGGTGGACGAGGGAGGGTAGAAATCAAATCTTACTGGGTCGTGGTAGTGAGAGATGAACAAAAACCGCCGTGTGGCGAATAATCAAGTTCTGAACACCGTGGAAGTAAAAAGCAAGGTAAGTCTTCACAGATTTTAATATGCTTTTACCGTCAAATACTTGTTCCCCCATGTTCCCGGAATTCTTATTTCGCCTTAGTTTGGAGCAGTACAACGTTTTTTAAACTATTATGTACAAAGATTTGTTCAGTTTTTGAGTTGATTTAGGTAATAATTATTTTCTTCCACCGCATGAAGTTTTATTTTCATGTATAATCCATTCAGAATCGCACACCGTATTTATTGAAGTTCAGAGTATGACTTAGGGTGGAGAAAGTGGTCTGTCTTCTTTGTGTCGGCAATTTGCGAGTTTCCCGATCAACAAGAATGTCTGTATTAACAGTAGTACGGGCAGTTTAAGCAGTAGGTGAGATATCATTTACGGAAGTTGCGTCCTGTTTTTATGTGAATGCATCTTATATAGATCATCAAGAGAAGTACTGTAGTAGGGCACAAAAGTACATTTTACTTTGACGCTGTAGCTGATATCCTTATCTAGCGCTACGTGCCTGACAGGGAACTGGAAGATAATAAGGGCGACAGTGTGACGTGTGAACTTCTAACCAGGAATGCTTGTATTTATGAGAGATCTGCTCGTGTACTTGAAGATGAAGTCGGTATTTTGATTTATCGCATAGAAATGTAAGAACCGCAAATTTACGTGTAGGCAGGTGGGGGGGGAGCTAAAGTGTCATGAGTCACATCCCGCTGCAATACTATCTAAATGGAAAGCAAAAGTACTGGGGAAAGGCGTGCACAGTATGCAGCTTATTACAACAAGCCACCGAGGTTCTTTAAAATAGCCTTATGAAAATGAGTTCGGAAAAAAAAACGTTTATATCAGAACAAACATTTGTTTAATCAAATGTTTCCGGCGTTTCAACTTCCTGGGAGAAAACGAGGGCTGTCGTCTGCAATTTTTTGTTTATTAGTTAAATGGAATTATAGAACATTTCCAGAAGGAAAAGAAAAACAGCAGGAAGGAAATTGTGATGATAATGAAGCCGTTTCAATATTTAGACATTAGACATAAAGGTTTTTATATTTTGTATATATGTATGTATGTATGTCACAAATTAAATAATGTCTTTTAATCATGGTTATTGGTTCAGATCGGGAATTTGCTTTACTTTAAGTTTTTTTTTCTTCATTTTGGCTTTTTGATTGTGGAAAATTAGGAATTACATGATTGTAACATTTTTCACTATCCATCCATCCATCCATCCATTCAGCTTCTAACCACTTATCTTGGTCAGGTTTACAGGGGGCAAATAGTCTATCCGGGGCAGCATAAGACTCAAGGCTGGAGTACACTTTGAATGGGATTTTAGTATTTAAAATGTGTGTCTGTCTTGTAATGGGTTGGCTCCCTGTTCTGGGTTATTCCTTACCTTGCACCTCCACAACCCTGCATAGGACAAGTAGGTACTGAAAATTGATAAATACAAATATATTTATCAATATATATTAATATAAAGTGTAATTTATACTATACATTAATCTACATTCAGTGACAGAGTGAAATTTAGATTTAAAAATTGGTGGATGATATTTTAGCTTTCTTTTTAATACAAACATAGCTCTCCATGGACACATACAGCATACACAGAATGTGAATGTTCTGAGGAATAGTTTGGCACCACATCCAGAAATAACAAAGAAAAATCTTAGGAACAGATCTTGATTCAGCAAAATAGAGTCAACATTCTGTATCCTTCTTATTGCCACACAAAAAGGTAGGTGGCTTTTGGATTTGACCCATAGGTGTGACAACTGGAGAAAGACATTGGTTCAAGACAGAAGATATTTGTAGCATGACTTAAACACACACATTTACAACTCGCACTAAGCTACAACTGCGAGTGTGGCTGTAATAAATGCAGTACGGCATACAGTGCAGTTTGTGAGCAACATTTGAATAATACATTTAAGTTATTTTCAGGTATATCTTGTTACACTTAAATTAAGCACCTTGTTTGAATTCGATACTTTTAACATTTTTTATTTTACTCTCCTTGTTAGTTTTCTGTTTCTGTGTTAGATTAAATCTTTCAGCATCAACTTCCATCTCCTTGAGAAGCAGGTGACAGGTCTGTTCCGCTTTCTTAGGTCATGACCCAGCTATGAATGTTGTGTCGTTCGAGAGCTCAGGTATCAGATAAGGAAAATGAGCCACCCTCGAAACTAGCAGCTCTTTGATGTATATAGTGGCAGAGAGACGCCCTGACCAACATGAACCATCTAGGACTTCCTTTGTACAATAATGCTGGCTTGTCTAGGAGCTTGTTACCTGAGGTGTAGTGACCCGCGTGGTGGTCTGGAGGGGCCCTTGGTGAGGACCACTGTCCCGTTTCCTGTTCATCATCTCCTTCGTCCCTCCTTATCCGTTTCAGTTTGGAGCTGAGTTCCGGCGGTTCTCCCTGGAGCGCTCGGCGCTGGGCCACTTCCATGAGTTCCTCGTGCTCTTGCAGCATGTGCACCTCATCCCCAACGAGGACTTGCTGGTGAAGTACGCCGACCCCCAGGGGCTTCTGCTGCCTATTAACAATGACGGCAATTACCACAAAGCCATTTCCTCTGCCCGACCTCTGCTGCGTTTATTCATACAGAGGACAGGTAAGGAATGGGGGGGGTCGCCCTGTGGCTTGTGATTTTTAAATTTTTTGTTTGGGAGGACAGGAGGAGTGTGAACTCTAATGCACGATGAATTAATAACTTCACTGTAGCAGATCATCAGTTCCCACGTTACAGTTTGCTGTTTAAGGCCTTACGCAGTAAAGGCATTGGGAGATCAAGGGATTTTTGGTGTTGTTCTTGGTGCCCATGAGCATGACTTGCACTCTTCCTATCCCCCCGGCTCCCTGACACGTGCTTTGTGCTCCTTCTGTCCTGGCTTTGACTCTGTCCACTTGTCGTGGTTGAGCTTTTTCAAACGTGCGGTTTACAGGAATTCAGACGAAGGTGCTTTAGGTAAATATTGAAGAGCAGCCCAGGGCATGTTTGCGTAGGGAGTGCTCCGCGCTCCGGCAGCTGATGCAAACGTCAGCGCCTGCCTGTCAAACAGCTGCTGCAGTTAACAAGGATGTTGATCCTCGGCATCCTCCCAACTCGGAGGTACCTCAGAGGTCTGCTGAATGGAAACTTCTCAGTAAAATGCTTGAATCACATATAAGGATATATGTGCAGTGTTATGAGAATATGCGTCCATAGAGAGGAGCTGCGCTCTGTGGACTATCTATCTGAACTAAATGCAATTTGGTACTATATACTAGTTTAGTCCTTTTTCATTCCAGTGGAGGGTCAATGAAAAAATATACTGTCTGTCTCTCTATCTATACACACACTCACACTCACTCACTCCCCAGGGTATGATAGTCCTTGTTACAATATGTCAACTCTACGATGGGTATGAGTATTCAGTAAATTACAGCTATTCAGCACTTGATTATAAAATAGGCTTTGTGTTAATGATTTTGCCCAAATGTAGGCTAATGTAAGTGTTCTAAACATATTTAAGGTAAGGTAGGGTAGTCTATGATTTTTGTTAGGATAAAATGCATTTCTGGCATTTGATATTTTCAGAACGTAACCCCAAAAAGACTGATCAGTGTCTTTGCTTGTATCCCACCTGTTCAAGTGACGTTAGCCATTTCGCCTGTCTTCTTCCCAAAACATTTTGCTTTCCTCTCCACTTTTACACTAAAACTGTTCGGTTGTCCATTACTTGTGGTGGTGATCACTTGTGGTTTTCTCACCTTGATAAAAAAAAATATTGATAAAAATTGAAGGGACTGGCAAGACTGCAAGACATGAGGGGTAATAAAAATAATATAGGAAACATATTACTCAGCCACGATTCCTGCTGTCTGGTCTATGTCAGATTGTAGTTTAGCTTTTACTATGCATGTAGCGCAAACTCAAAGTCAGGCCAGTATTGCTGTGAGTGGGATGAGGTAGATAATAGATGGTGGTGCAGGCAGCCATATCTCAGTTTGCATCAAATTGTGTGTCTCCCTGCAGAGGAAGCCAACCAGTACATGTTTGTCACGGACGCAACCACATGGAAGCAAAGGGCCCTGGCCACAGTGTTTTCACAGGGTCCAAAACTGCAGAAGCACGGTGTGGTCATTAGCCAGCCTTGGGACTTCCGGCCTGTGTCCTCAGTGGTGGATGTGAGCGTGTTGCCCGAGTGGATGCGGCGCGTCAGGCTGCATCGGCGTGGCTCCGACCGCCCACTGGGCTTCTACATCCGCGACGGCACCACCGTGCGACTCACCCCCCAGGGTCCCGAGAGGGTCCCAGGCGTGTTCATCTCGCGCGTGGTGCCGGGGGGCCTGGCCGAGAGCACCGGGCTGCTCGGCGTCAACGACGAGGTGCTGGAGGTCAACGGCGTTCCAGTGGCGGGCAAATCTCTCCACCAGGTGACCGACATGATGATCGCGAACAGCCACAACCTAATCGTGACGGTCATGCCCGCCAACCAGAGCTACAATGTGGTGCGGGCCCCTGCAGCCGGTTCCAGGAGGTCCCTTGGCACATATCAGAACTTCCTCCTTGAGGAGGAGGAAGATGAGAAGAGCGAGCTAGAGAAGGAGGGAGAGGAAAGTGAAGAGGAAGACTTGGTGGTGGAGGCAGGCTGGGGGTCGAGACCTGTCCCTCGCTATGAGTTGCATATGGGCCTGAAGCAGAGTGGGCCAGTGGGCCCCAGCAGCAGCCTGGGCTCCCTAAGCATATCAGACAGTGAGCAAGGAGAGTTAGAGGAAAGCAGTCTGGAGGAGGAGGGCACAGTCCTGACACTATAGTCAGACACGGACAGGCGGAAAACAAAAACTCTAATCCTGTCAACACAACTGTGAAGGTCACAATACTCATAATAATGCTCTCAGACCCTATACCACCAAAAACAATTCACCTGGGGGGGGTGAATGCACACCCTCCCCTCTCAAACTCATGTCTGATTTTAATCAAACTTGATCTTACTCCTCAAAATATATTTTATATTGTTTGGTGATACTGCTCTTGTTTTGAAATATCTAGTAATAACAGAAATCCTAGTTTTCAATACTAAACGATTGAATGATTCTGAATGAGAATGAAGTGATGAAAAGTTACCATCAGCTATTTTTAATAAAAAATTATTTTAATAATTTTACAAGCACTTCTATAATCACTAGCGTATAGCAAAACACTCTGCATGTTTTAGTGACAGTGTATAGACATCAAAACAAATCTTTCCATGTTCAACTGCCTGTTGATATTTAACAAATCAATTCAATTTTCATACAAAATCGAGAGGGCACTATTTAGAATGTATTAATTAGGTATACAAATGGATACCACTGTCTTGTGGCTTTTCATAACTATTCCTGATGCTATATCTTTACATTTTTCTCACTTAAATATTTTCAACAGAGCCTTGTTTTGTTTTTAATATTAATTATATTAATTATGATTTTAAGTCTTGTAAAGGAAACTGGGCATTCACCTGTGGCGGTTATTTTTATACATTTTTAGTAAAATTTCAAAACGCCAGGCTGTACCTTTTCAAATTTTCAGATTTTTGACCATGCAACACAAGCATAAACAATCAGGTCTGATGTTTCGTTTTCTTTTCGTTACTGACGAAGGCCTAATTCCGAATCTGGACCAGATTATTGTTTATGTAGTAATTTAAAGAGAATTGTTATGAGCAAACACCTGGTAGGACATAATGGAAAAGGATTTATCAGAATGCGGAAAATGTAATTTAACCTCTAATTGTTTTATGTCATGCAATCAGAGTGTATGCCACTGTATATTTTTGTTATCCGTGCCTTGTTTAACAAAGGTGGAGAACATTCTTTCAGTCTCCACCTAGTTTCACTTGACGTCCAATAGCATGGGTCTATTTCTCATGATTAATATTAGCTAACATGCTATTGGAAGGACTTTTCATCCAATCACAATGCTCCAACGCAAACACAGGCTTTCAGATGGGTATCTGAATATCATATTTTGATATTCAAGGTAACTATATACATATATATTGGCTATTTACTTCCAACTTACTCCCACCTATCCGTTATTATAAATGAAAGATCATATAGCATTTAGTATGTGCTCCTTTAATTCACACCATCAGTCCCACAGTGCCCATCCCATTTAGCACCACAGACAGGTTACTGTCAGCTGGAAAGGTGATGTGTATTTTTGCTGGAAACCAGTGACCCGTCAAAGCATGAGGCATCAGAAGAAAGAGAGCAGGCTGACATCACACGTTAATCTCCCAACCTACCGGTCTTTGGTTCTGAATGCTGTGGACAGCAATGTGAGAATATATCGGTACAAAATTCTTGTTTTTAGAAATGCTGTGATTACAAGTCAAGATATGAATAAAATGTCTGATGCAGTGTGTTTTAAATATAGAGAAGTTTTGTAGGTAAATATTTTATTAAATTAATATTGTGAATATCTTCCACATTAAATATTACTCAAGATATTTATATGCAGATTTTAGAGAAATTGATTTTTATGTGAAATATTTTAAGAGATAAATGTAATTCATTTATATATTTGATACAAATTTCTGACAAAATCAGTACATTCCAAATGGTTCCTTAAGATGTATATCTACCTCACCTTAAAAATAAACTATATGGACAAAAGTATTGGGACACACCCCTTAATCACTGAATTCAGGTGTTTTATTCAGACCCATTGTATAAAATCAAGCACATAGCCATTCAATCAGATTTACAAACATTTGTGAAAGAATGGGTTGTTCTGAAGAGTTCAGAAAATTCAAGCATGGTACTGTCGTAGGATGCCACCTTTGCAATAAGTCAGTTTGTGAAATTTCTTCCCTACTAGATATTCCATGGTCAACTAAATGGTATTATTGCAAAGTAGAAGTGTTCTGGAACAACAGAAACTCAGCCATGAAGTGGCAGACCATGTAAAGTAACAGAGCAGGGTCACCCAGTGCTGAGGTGCATAGTGTGTAAAAGTCACCAACGCTCTGTAGACTGAGTACCTGCAGAGTTCCAAACTTCCTCTGGCATTAACCCCAGCACAAAAACTGTGAGCCCGGAGCTTCATGGAATGGGCTTCCATGGCCAAGCAGCTCCATGCAAGCCTCACATAACTATAAGCACAATGCCAAGCATTGGATGGAGAGGTGTAGAGCACGCTGCCACTGGACTCTGGAGCAGTGGATATGTGTTCTGTGGAGTGATGAATCACGTTTCTGTGTCTGGCATTCTGGTGGATAAGTTTGAGTTTGTCAGATGCCAGGAGAACGTTACATGCCTGACTGCATTGTGCCAACTGTAAAGTTTGGTGGAGGAGGGATAATGTTATGGGGTTATTTTTCAGAGGTTGGGTAAGGCCCCTTAGTTCCAGTGCAGGGGACTCTTGATGTCTTAAGGCATTTTGGACATTTCTGTGCTTTCAGCTATACGGGAATAGTCTGGGGAAGGCCCTTTTCTGTGACTGTGCCCCAGTGCACAAATCAAGATCTATAAAGACATGGTTGGGTGAGTTTGGTATGGAAGAATGTGACTGACCCACACATAGCCCTGACCTGAACTCCATGAAACACCTTTTGGGGTGAACTAGAACAGAGATTGTGAACCAGGCCTTCCAACATCAGTTCCTGACTACACAAATGCTCTTTTGGATGAATGGCCAAAAAAAATTCCCACAGACACATTGCAAAATCTTATGGAAAACCTTCCCAGAAGAGTGGCAGCTGTTATAGCTGCAAAGGGGGGGGGATCAACTCCATATTGATGCCTATGGATTTAGAACGGGATGTCATAAAAGCTCCTGTAGGCGTAACACTTTTGTCCATATAGTGAGTACTCTGTTTTTGGCTCAGCAGTACCACTGAGTAGCACTGACAGTAAGTGGGAAATGTGGGGGGTGGGGCGGAGATAGTATGTGATGAAAAAATTGCACCTCACTTACTGCAACTACATACATACATAAATACTACATACAGTAACAACTTATACCGATCAGCCATAACATTAAAATTACTGACAGATGAAGTGAATAACAATTATTTCATTGCAATGGCAGCTGGCAAGGGGGCAATTGTGTATTAGGGACGTGAACAGTCAGTTCTGAAGTTAATATGTTTGAAGTAGGAAAAATGGACAAACGTAAGGATCTGGCTCAGAGCATCTCCAAAATGACAGGTCTTGTGGGGTGGTCCCACTATGCAGTGGTCAGTACTTACCAAAAGTAACCCAAAGAAGGCTAACCGGTGAATTGGCGACGGGGTCATGGGTGCTCAAGTCTCATTGATGCATGTGGGGAATGAAAGCTAACCCATCTGCACCAATCATACAGTAGAGCTACTGTAGCACAAATTGCTGAAAAAGATAATGTTGGCTATAATAGAAAGGTGTCAGAAAACACATTGCATATGGTACTGCGTCGCCACACAGAGCCCATTTCTCCTATAATGAGCATGTGAGTATCAGAACTGGATCACAGAGCAAAGGAAGCAACTGGCCTGGTCTGATGAGTCATATTTTCTGTCACATCATGTGGACAGCTGGGTACATTCATGTCATTTACCCGGGGAAGCAATGGCAACATGATGCACTATGGGAAGAAGGCAAGCCCGCAGAGGCAGTGTGATGCTCTGGGCAATGTTCTTCTGGGAAACCTTAGGTCCTGGCATTCATGTGGTTGTTACTTTGACATGTACAACCTACATAATCATTGCTGCAGACCAAGTACACCCCTTGGTGGCAATGGTATCCCTTAATGGCAATGGCCTCTTTTAGCAGGATAATGCACTGCACACTGCAAAAAATGTTCAGGAATGGCTTGAGGAATATGAAAAAGAGAGTTTAATTTGTTGACTTGGCCTCGGGATTCCCCAGATTTCAATCCAATCAAGCATCTGTGGGATGCTTCGGACAAACAAGTGCAATCCATGGAGGTCCCACCTATGGGCTGATATTTGTGCCACTAGAAACTGAATATAAATTTTGTATATTTCAATCTGCAGTTATCCGCATTACAAAACTGAATCTGAATTTAACAGTTTGAATCTGAATTCCAGTAACTCGAAATAGCATTTACCCTACCTCGAAAGATTCAGTTCGCAAATCCAATTTCAATCTAGTGTGACACACATCCGGGTCCTTGAGAAAAAGTAATCGACAGCAGATTCACAACGCAACTCATTTCCACGTTTACGACAGTTGTGCAGGTCAGGTTAAAGAGGAGGCGTGTGCCGGGGTGTAGCAAGCGCAAATGCGGGATCATATACGTAATGAAAATTAAGCAGTACCGGCACTGATATATCTTAATCTTTATCGTACCACCACTTCTCACAAGTTGCCAGTACTCTGCTACTGAGACAAATGTCACGCGAGAGTGGCGGGGCACCGTGCGCGGTACCGACAGTGTTATTGAGGCGCTTCTGTTGTTCCCAACACCCCCGCCGCCGTTCTCACGGTCAATACAGTAGCGACATTTTTAATTCTCCACTTCGAGCACTGCTTATACAGATCACCTTATTAAACCCCAGTACAACTGATGCTTCCGGTTATTAGCACAGTACACAGAGAGCGCTGTAGACATTTCACAGACCAGACGCATAGCACCTCAAACCCGCTTCATAACTTAACATTTAGATCGATACAGGGGTATGTGTATCTATGGACTCGTGTTGTGTTTTTTTCTTCCCCGCCAATCAGGAGTCAGGAGCCGCTTGTGTGGATCTTCAGATTCAGCTTTTATTGTCACAGTGAGGTTACAGCCAAGGCTGACACCCTGCTTTGATGATTGCATGATGTTTGTAAATCATCTCTTTTACTATATGGTCCCTCAGCTGAACATAATGGTGGCATGACCATGTCTAGTTGTGTTTTTTAAATACCCAGCCGTGAATTTTTGCGAATCCCTTCCTTCAGTAGCAAACCTTGCATCGGTCTTTGTCAGTCACGTGTCTGCACTCTCTAACACGCCCCCCATTCGCCATTTTGAGTGTATCGCGGATGTAAACACATTTGCTTAATATTTCATATTCAGTGTTTTTTTTCCACAAAAATTTAATGTTTATGTAATCAGTTATAGGCAATTTTCATTAACAAAACACGCTAGTAATGCAGGTGTTTAAGAAAGGAAAATAGTCATGAACACCACA